ACCCGTAAGCCCTAAACCCTACACCCCTTTCAACCCAAAACCCTAAACCTTTCAACCTTTGACCCGCTAAGGGTGCCAATGGGTGGCTGGAGAAAGCCATGGCCCGGCTACTGTTCTCAGGGCTGCCAGGGCTCAGCTTGTTGTGCTCCAGCAGCGTGGAGAAATAGTGCAAGATGGGCGAAGACCTGATGCTACTAGATTAGATGTGAGTCAGTAGTTTACCAAACAAACTGGAATCTAGGCCAGTCCCTTTGTGAATACTTTCTGTACATGTGTGTGTGTGTCTGATATCTTCCATCTATCTATTCATTCATGGTTTGTGAATCTTGCCACTTAAACTTACATGTTTGATTTCCACACTACTGCACTTTGAACTTTGGATCTATTTGCACACACGCACGTACTCCACGCAGCCGTAGGAAGCCTGGGCATCCCGACTGCCCCGGCGGAGCCTGCACGCTTTTGAACTGCCTCAGACTTCTTTGCTCGGCAGGAGGACAAGGAGGGGTCTGCATGTTAGATTCAAGCCTAGATTGGTCTTTCTCCCTGCGACACACAACAAGAAATGATCAGCTCCCTCCCATGGCCACAACGACCGGGTGCTGCGGGGCTTCCGGAGTTCGCATAGGGAAGCAAACAGCACAGCTAGTGTGGAGGAATTATGTAGCGTTGCTTGATCCAGCCGGGGGCTGTCAGTTTCATGAGAACTGCACATGGCTTCCCGATGGTAGCCAATGAATCCTGAGGACGGATTTTCAAGCTGAGACACTGAATAGTCTGCGGCGTGCGCAGAAGTCCACTCTTGCACTGGGCTGCGATGAGGGCCGCACCTGCGTCTGTAGTGGATTGAGTTCTCAAATTTCGGCTGGGCCGGGGGGCCTAGGGTTTACACCGTTTACGCTTTTTGAAAATCTTAACCTAGGGCTGTTGGGACCGCCACGAAGCGGTCCCCCTCCTACGGGAGTTCCGCCAAAGCAGGCAACCCAACATTGGATGAATTTAACAACATGTACTGGGGTTACATGGGGAACTTGCTTTCGAGCACAAAGTACATGCACACATGATGGCTGCCACAGCCCCCATCCCGCCCCCCCCCACCCCCTGGTATCCCCTCCTCTGCACCCCCCTTAGCTGAGGCTTCGGTTGGCCTTGTTCGCAGTTGTGCGTGCTGCCGGCGATACTGCTCATAATGTTGTGCTGCTCTAAACGGCAACGCGAGTCGACAATCGGATCATTTTTGACATCATGCTGAACATCAACCCTCATAATTAAGCATTGTGATTCATGTCTTATGCGGGAAACTATCGCGCAGATTGCCGGTTTCTGCACGGAGCCGGGGTTGCGTACCATAGGGGTGGGCACCCCCAGTAGGGGAGGGGTGATACCATGGTGGTGGGGGGGGGAGGGGTGGTGGTGGTGGCCCGGGACCCGAGAGCATACATGCATGTGTGTTGTATGTGCTTGTGTATATGTATAGGTATATGATGGTAGGTATATGTGCATGTGTATGTATCCGCCGACCCCCTTAGCGGCGCTTGGAGGGCCTTTCGTTTGTCTTCGTGCAACGCTTTCTCTTCGTGCCACGCCCGAAGTCTCTGCTTTTGGACCCCAGAAGAGCATCATGAGCACGTGGAACATATGCAGCTGCCGACGCGGTGCGGGCCGATGTCGTGCATGTTTTGAAGTCGGCCGTGGTAGCTTCGCAGGGGCGTATCATCAGCATCAGCGGGTCATGAGGGCAGGTGGGGTGGGGCGGGCGGAGCGGGGCGGGGTGGGGTGGGGTGCGGATAGATAGATAGATAGATAGATAGACAGATAGATAGACAGATAGATAGGTAGATAGATAGATACATAGATAAATAGATAGAGAAATGGCTAGATAGATAGATGGATAGCTAGAATGATAGATGGATAGATAGATAGATAAGTAGATAAATAAGTAGATAGGTGTATAGGATAGATCGATGGATAGATAGATGGGTTAGATAGACTGATAGATACATGGATAGATAGATTAAGCAGATAGACAAGTAGATAGATAGATAAATAGGATAGGATGGATAGTACAGATAGATAGATCGATAGAGAGAGATAGACAGATAGATAGATAGATAGATACATAGATAGATAGATAGATAGATAGATAGATAAGTAAATAAATAAATACGTAGATAATTAGATAAGTAGTTAATTAGATAATTAGATACTGAGATAATGAGATAATGAGACAGATAGATAACTAGATAAGTAGATAAGCAGATAATTAAATAATTAGAAAGACAGATAGATTGATTGATAGATTAGATTGTTAGATAGATAGATAGATAGATAGATAGATAGAATAGGATGGATAGGACAGATAGATGGATGGATAGATAGACAAATAGATAGATAGGCAGGTAGATGGGTAGATAAGTGGATAGCCAGATGGATGAACAGATACATGGACAGGTAGATCGGTCAGTCGTTCGATGCTTTTACAGGTAGATATAGCTACGGATATAGACATAGATATAGATATGGATATGGATATAGTAATAGACCATGCCTGCATACACGCCCCCTCCAAACAGCCGCGATACCCAAGACCGACCTACAACGCCACACCGGAAAGCCTCAAAGGCTAGGCGTCAAACAATAAACAGACAACCCTTCAGCCAGACATATTCAAGGCCAAGCTCGTCAAATTTCAGACGCCCTGCAACATCATGACCCCTCAATCGATACACCCGCCAAAAGAAAGGCAGCACTACGCAGTGGCGTCTCAAGTTAGATCAACATCAAAGACAGTCTCAAACCGCACCTTTGTAGTCACCGGAAGCAAAAAGCTGGTTGAACTGGCGCTGGAAGAGCTCCTGGGATGAGTGTGGAAGGGCATCCTAGCTTGCAGGTTGTAATGCCGGTCCGGCGGCTGGCCTTCTCCGAAAGATGACAAGGCTTCAAGCTTCAGTAAAAATCACTTGGGAGTCGGGGCTTGGATACATTCTCGATGAGTTCTGATCCTTATGACTTATGATCGAGGGTTTCTGCCTTGCTGCAATCTCGAAAAACCTACCTCTAAGCTGAGTGTCATCTGCGCCAGGCAGACCAAAACGTCGCGCCAATGTGAACGCAATGTCCTGCCGACAGCCGCAGCATGCACTTTGTTCTCGTCAAGATACGGGAGTCACATGATGTCAGGCTCTGCAGTGCATCACACTACTAACTCCACAATACTCGGCTCCACAACACTATGACAAGCACGTAGTACGATATGCTGCTAGTTGCTGTTTGTCTCTATTTCAACGGCTTGTCTTGTGCAAAAACATTTTCCACCAGTTCCTGACAAGCATCAGTTGAATTGCGACAGCCGTGCCCGGGGCATTTAATCCAAGTCCCAGCTTCAGATGCGGCCAAGTGAAGCGCTTCAGCCGAAGGTGAAAAGCCCAAGACTTTGCATCTGGTTCTGAGATCTCCTCGTGTTCCGGTTCATTCGATCGCGCCCTCAGTTAAGGTCCGAATTTGCCTTGTCCCGTCCGTACTGGCGCCGCCCTGGTTGGGAAGGCTTGGGGGTGTCCATTCCAGGTAAGGATAAGCACAGGCTGTCAGTCACAGCCAACGCCCCCAATCCCACATGCGCTGTTTGTTTGCCCGACAGGGCACCGTAGACTGCAACTTTTGCGAGACATACTGGGTGACGAGTGGCGCATTCGTTACACTTGAACATACTCTTTATTGAAGAAATGAGAATCTAATAATATGAACATGATGAATGTCTATGCATGCCAATCCGCTCCAGTAGCAATACGCCGCGTCTCACGACGAGTTGCTGTGCTTCCAGCACCCTCATGCTATGGTATACGTAGCTGTATTAAACCCAAACTACACGGCTTCGATGATTTACACCTCGTCAGAACCGTTGGGCAGGGTAACACCTGGCGTGAGCAGTACAACTTGTCAATGCGTTCACTTGCGCAGCAACTGCACTCTGTCTCCGAAGTTCTGGGTTGCAATGAACACGGTTTGAAGTTCGAAGTGGTTTATATCAGAGCAATGGAGGTCCCCAGAAATCCAGCCCGATCTTCCAAAGCCAAAGCTGTGCTGTAGCATCTTGCGGCCTTGAAGGAAGGCCTCTGCACAGAGGTGTATGTGGTTTTACGGCCATCGGGCCTGAAGCAAAAAACGCTAGAAAACCCAAAGCAAATGAAGGATCTCATAGAATGCAGAACACCCTGCTACCTTCTGCCCTGCACCGGTTGAATCCGTCCTGACGATTTGGAATCTGAACCAGCTGGTTCATAATATAGTTCACGATGGCAGCCTCGTTGACCTGCTCAAGCCCAACTACCAAACTACAGCCCGCTGCGGTCCTACAAAACACTTGCATGCTTCACGCCCACCAAGCTGTTTCACCACCACAAAGGCAGTGACGGCAAATCTCTCCATCAGCATCCACGGCTCGATACATGCAGACAACCCGGGCTTACTTCTGATGAGAGTGGTCACGGATGACGAAGACGAGGATGGTAATCAGCAAAACCAATGACAAACAAAAGCAGAGGCAGAAAACTGAAACGATCATGATGACCTTTATCTATAACGTTATTGACAATTGCTGCCACCGGTTTCGGTTATTGTGATGGTTGTGATGACGGAGATGATGAGTGTGATGAGGATGACAATAGTGATGGCGGTGATGGTGGTGAGAGTGATGATGTTGGTGATGTTGGTGACGTTGGTGACGGTGGTGATGGTGGTGATGGTGGTGATGATGGTCATGGTGGTGATGGTAGTGATGGCGTGATGGTGGCGATCGTGGTTATTGATGGTGATGATGGTGACCATGATGAAAGCAGGTTGATGGCGATGGTGACCATGACCATGACCATGTGATCACAGTGATGATGGTGATAGTGGTGATGGTGTTGACGATGGCGGAGTTGGCCGTGGCGGTGAAGGTGGCCATTGCGGCGGCGGCGGCGGCGGTGGGTGCTTGTTCTGGTGCTGGTGCTGATGATGCTGTTGGAGTTGGTGTTCGTGGTGGTGGTGATGACGATGATGATGATGATGATGGGGATGATGATAAGGCTGATGACGACGAGGGTGATGACGATGATGGTGATGATGATGACGATGATGATGGTGATAATGATGCTGATACTAAAGACGATTACGATGACAGTGATCATAAAAGGAATGAAGATGGCTATCATGATGGAGACCTAGATAGCAGTGAGAAGCATTGATGAGGCTGGCCATGACAATAAGGATGATGATGACGATGAAGATGATGGCGATGACGATGCTGATGATGACGGTGGTGGTGATCGCGATGGCAAAGCCTATGATGACGGTCATGATGATGACGATGATGATGATGATGTTGATTTTGACGGTTTTGATGATGATATTGTTGTGGCTGCTAGCGTTGTCATTGTTATTGATACTGTTATTGTTGTTGCTACTACTACGATAGCTTTGTTGAATTATGATTCTGGTTGCTCTTACTAGTACTATTATCACTACCCTTTGACTATTACTACACTTAATATTATCACTCATTGTAACCTTATTGCTATGGTTACTGTTATTATTACTGTTGTTGAAAATTTCTATTATCATGATTTTAATATTGTTGTTGGTGCGATTAAAACCCATTAACATTATTGCTACATTCATAGTAATATGAGTATTGTTGTTATTATGTAGTATTGTCGTTGTTGCTGTTGCTACTGCTGGTGGTGTTGTTGTTGTTGCTGTTGTCGTTGTCGTTGTCGTTCTGGTTGTTGTTGTTGTTGATGCTATGTTCATTGCACCTGTTATTGCTATTGCTATGCTACGTCCTTGGTCCTTCCGAAAATGGCACGGAAAATTAACGGCAATACACATCATGACGAACATGCAGATAAAGAAGAATCAAGAAATGATGATGATGATGATGATGACACTGCTGTTGGCGATGATCACCATCTTGATGGTGGTGGTGTGATGGTGATGTTGGGGGACAGCTACAAGAGATGATGACGATGATCATCATGATGCTGATCACGGTGATGATGGTGATGACCATAGTGATGATTATGATGACAACGGTGCAGGTTTAAACAGACAGAGAAGATAATACTGCGGAGACCGGCGCTGTAAAGTATCAAAAAATGGCAAGCAAGCATATGGCGAACTACAGGGCTGCGCTGGTGTTGGCTGCAGAGATGCTACGACTGCGCAGATCGACGCTCATGAGGATATCAGGATGGTGACCTGGATGATAACGAGAGTGGGACTGGCTTTACGATGATGATGATCATCACCATCATCATGACGACGATGGCGACGACGATGGTAGTGATAAGGATGGCTATGGTGGTAATGATGAACATTGAAGTGGCGATAATGACGATGACGAGTGACGATTGTGTACAGTATGATGAAGTAGCAGTCTACAATGACGACGATTATGATGACGAGGAGGATGTGGAGGAGCGGAGGGCAACGACCCGCACGATGGCGATGACAAGGGTGAGTATGATGCTGACTAAGTCGCCAGGATCACAATCACTGTTGTTGGATTTAGACTGTGTTCTCTGCATCTCGACCATCACCATGATCGTGATGCTTATGCTGATGCCGGTTTCGAGACCAGCAGAAACGGCACAACCCGCGCTGAAGGAATTGGCCTTGGCGGACATCACAGCTCCCCGCTTGTTCACGAAGATCATGCCACCGGAGAGGGCAGAGCCAACAGTGATGAAGACGGTCTCCTTCAGATCGGCAGTTTGGAGTCCACGGCTTGAGCTCAGATCTCAGAGCGTTCGGCCACGTTTTGTCGGGATGTTCAGCCCTCGACACCCCAATTCAACCTCTCACTCTGGCGGCCCTATCCCCAAACCCAAATGCTGGAGTTTGAAGCCTAGTCTGTTCTTCCGGATCCCAGGAGTGTTCCAGTCTCAGCCCTTGGCTCAGCTTCGAGCGTTCAGGCTTGTCTGGTGTGGCTGCGCGTGTGGAGGCTTGAAAGGGACACCAAGTACCATGAAGATATTTCGCGAAAAATATAAAAGCCTGCCTTCAAGCTAAACCCGAATCCAGGTGTTCCGGGCCCGGGTCAGGGATCAGAGGGTCAAGAGATGAGGACCACACCCTCGCAGGGAACTAGGACGTAAATTCCGATGGCGTGAATACAGCAGAAGAAACCCTGCCACCACATAAGCAGATAATTCCAAAGCACTGCATGCCAATCAATGCTTGAAATGCCTGACCCCTGCACCGCCCCTCAGTTGGTGCCTGGGACACCCTCGATCGCACCAGCATGGTTCCTGTGCCGATGTCAAACATGAAGAGGAAGCCGGCCTCGGTGGGGGGAGCACTGGAAGCGAGGTCGTAAGGCCTAAACAGTTCAGGGTCTCAGATTTACGGCTGGCCACTTAGCGGCCCGGGCAGCACACAGAACGACAGGTCGGCGGTGGAGGGACTTCCAGCTTTCGAGGTTTAGAGATCTGGCGATACCTTGATGGACTGCAGTTGCTCAGACTTGCAGTACCCTCCCTACACCCAGAACCCTTCACACAAATGGGACCCGATCCTATCTTTACATCCCATCTGCTACAGCTAGAACTTGAAAGCCTAGCCTTATGACCTGATTCTGCTTGCTGATACAACAACGTGCAAGTCCTTAGGCCTGGAAGATGCCCGGTGTTTCCATAGGAGCACCCGGCAAGTCGATAAGTGATGCAGTTTCCAAGGCTCATGTTGCAGATGGCAGGTGACACAACTTCAAGAGTTGGATTTCTTCGGCGTTTGCGGCTTTGCGTTGCAGACTTCAACGCGCTAGGGATATTTGTGCGAGTATAGTTGGGCGTTACGACCTTCGATGCTTTCAGCAATCCTTTGGCCATCTTGTTGAAATGAAAACTCAAAGAGACATAGACAATAGAATGACAATAGATACAGACTAGGAGGAATGAGGCATGCAAAGGCAGCGTAAAACCGGACACGGCAACCCGGTGCGATGTGGTATACTGAGTAGACTGCAATGCAAGCTCGTTTTCTGTCCTACGGCCGTCCCAACCTCCAACCTTCGGCATCCTGACACGAATTGGGGGGCGATGTATTTGCAATGTACCTGTCCGGTACCACAAAGCGCAGACATCCCCAGTGCCAACACATAACCGAACCCTGAATCCATGATACATGAAACCTTAGCCCTTAGCCCTTGAGAGCTTGTGCGCCTTGCAAACTAGCCTGGAGACCCTAAGCTGTAGCACGACAGATCCTGGGGTCTCGATGACCTCATGAGCCTTCGACCCTCAGCCTGGAGACACGACGATTTAATGCACAGCTCCTGTCGCGGCCTAGCTCAGTGGCGCAAGCTCTTGTGGTTGATTGGATATACGAAATTGACACGCTTCAGAACTTTATCGAACTTTGGTCTCTAAGCCCCTGGAGACCCCCAAATCCCAAAGCCTCCCTATCTCTACATGCCCATGTATGGCATAGCATGCGCATATGTTCAAAGTGTATGTATATAATATATATATATATACAAATATATACATATATATATACACAAATACATATATATTTATA